GCGCATCTCCGCGCCGAGGCTTCGGTCAAGCGTGCCCGGCCAAGCCCAGCCGGTGCCCGCGAACCTGCCCTTTAAAAGCCTCCCGAGACACGCACGCGCCCTCCGAGACACCAGCAGCCACGCTGCCCCACGAGCCGGATGGCGGTGACCACCGTACCTGTAGATGGCGGAGAGGATGCGTGGTAAAATGTGCTCCGGGGCGTGATGCGTGTCCATCAGAAAAGCCTCGGCTTTTCTTGTGGGAAAGCTCCTTTATCTCCGAAGTTCGGCTAGATGGATGCGCCTCTTAAAAAGCAGAGACATACGTAGGCATATTAAAACCTCCTAAATCATGAATGAAGGGCAGTGGTCCGTATGGACTGATGTGTAGTTTTTGTATGCTGCACGCTTTGCATTGTTGAAGTTGTTACTAGTTGTCTAACTAAATTAAATCAGACGGCAGAAAGGTACGTTTTACATTTAGGTAAGAGGAACATAAAGTGTAAAAAGACCAATGAAAAATGGTATAGCAAAACAGCATAGTGACTGATTTTCAAAAGGTGTGACTTCAGTTGGTTTATTTTACACAACTTTACTTTTTTTGCCAGGCAGAAGTCTTACATGCCTCAAATATATAAGTAGTACTAATAGTTACAATGACTGTAAAATTACAAGGACAATAGCCTATCCTAGTTTTAGTATGTGATTTTTGCACATTATCACATGCAGGGGTTTACTGTAGCGATGGGAACCTGTTGTCTGCCACAGAACGTAAAAGCAGATAGAAGAAACGTCTGATGCCAAACTACTGCTATGCAGTCAGATTGCCCTTGATAAAATACGACACATCATAAGAAACAGGAGTTTACGAAAATGTGAAGTAACTGTGAATTGGTTTATACAGAGCTATTACTGTGATACATTTTAAAAAGATTAAATGTGAACCTTTTTTAACTTGCAACTAGCAAATTAATTTAAACATGAGAGAATAAAAACGCGTAGAGATACATGACTGCACTTCATATTTAGTTTGAAGTTCTTGAGGGTGTATTTACTTTCTTTAGAGAAGGCCTAAGAGCTGTTTCATACTGCATTTCAATGCACATTTTAAGTCTTAATTGGAAGGTAAGTACTTCACAGGAACTGTTTTCACTTTGCATGGGTGGAGGCTGGTAATTCCATCCATCGTTTATATAAAGTATGGTTGTTATGAAAAGCTTCATGGTTGTCACTTGAGCTGTAATTGCCATACATTATGCACTGTTCACTGGAATAAATGGTGTGCAATAACAACATATATCTAGAAAGTATGCATTAGAGAGAGGGATCTGTTATGTCGATTACTGTATCACTGAGCATGGATTATACCAGAAAGTGATTTTTGTTTTGTCCAGACTACTTTAAAATGCCTTACGGATTGAAGTAGGTAGATGTGCATTTTGACACAAACCAGAATGTAAGCTGCAGTGAAGTGTTGCATGTCCTCAGCTAACTGTACTTCACATGGGTTCATTCTCCAACAGATTGGGAAACAGAATGCCATTCGATGGAGCCAGTGAACCTGACCATGCCCACGGGTCATTAAAGTCTGAATCAGACATTTTGCAGAACACACTACCTGAAAATGAGAAATTCTATTTTGATCTGTCCAGAATTATTGATAGGTGAGTTTCTTTATTATCATAAATACAAATGATGATGCACTACTTGAATTATGCCAAAAGATCAGTCACATTTTCAAACTAAGAAATAGGAAAGGAAGAATCAATTACAGAAAAAAAACCACACGGCTTCTGGTTGAATACTGGTAGCAGTAGGAATGTCTGCAGAAATGTTGATTGCGCTGACATTCTGGCGTGATGAATTCATTCACTTCCCAGGAAGGGCTAAAAAGTATATTGTGAAAATCTGGAAGTTGTTTTATGAAATTAGCTTAATTTAATATGTACAATAGATAACTTAAGGAAAGCAGTATGTTTACAAAATGAACGTTATCAAAATGATATGAAACCCAGGTTGTATTGTAGAGTTTATTTATTGTCCATTTCAGAAATGCAAGGCATGCTGATGGAATTTTCACCAGCGTCTACAGCCATCTTTTGGCTAAACTTGCTGTGAAGAGATATCTGCATTCGCTTATTAGAAAACGAGTTAGGTGAGGTGACGCTTACATTAGGTAGAGTTTTTTCCTAGCTGACTTCATTGGCAATTTTTTACCCTATACCTAAGTTCTCATTTTTGCGATTTAGAGATAATGAAAGAGAAACTGATATACGATAGGGGAGCTGAAAATCCTATGTAACAACTTAGTGGTATTTGTTACGAAATGAATACGTTACTATTTATTCCTGATACAGCTGTGAGGGGTAGAGCAACAGACACTGGACATGGCACTAATAATAAATACTGGCAATATTATAATGATTGTCACACCAATTTCCTAATTTTTTTCTCTGGTAGTGTTTTTACTAGCTTGGCAGATGAATGGCAAAAGTAAATACAAAAAGTAGTCAGTACTTACATAACAGCAGGGGAATGCTCAATGAAATTAAGAAACGGTTGGTTTACAGTGAAAACAAAAATGAATGATTTTTTTCCTACTGTAGAACGTATTGCCAGATGTTTGGGAAATCTGTGTTACAGAATGATTTGAAAAAGAATGAGGCAAATCCGTAGACAAGGGATCCGGATGCGACTTCCGGACCAGGACATTCATAAACTAATGGTCGCAGGATGCTGGAAAGGATCACTGTATACTTCCCTTGTTTTTATATCCCTAAGCAGCAGCTACTTGCATTCTTGGGAACCGAATAAGAGAATACTTTGGTCTGACCCAATATGGCAGTTCCTTTGAGTGCCTACTTCATATGCTGAAAAGCTGAGTGAAAATTAGGTCCTGCATTTATGCCAATGCTGCCTTGTTCCAGAACATATAGTGCCAGTTTCTTATACGCCATAAACTAAAGTAGATCATTTAAAGCAGAACACACTAAGGCTTCCCAAGATCATGCATGAAAAATAGTCCTCCATGTTTGGATTTCACAAGGTGTGTTTTGTCTCCTTAAAACAAGCATTTGTAGCTATGTATGTGATGCTACACTCTTACTTTCCTCTGAGGCAGGCTCCGTCCTCGCTGAGTTCAATATGAACAGTGACCAGGTCCTTTAAGAGCTTACAGTGACTTAAACCAGTCTGCACCTTGGCATTGTACTAAAATATATTTATGCAAATGATAGAAATCAAAATGAAGTCAGTTTATTAAAAAGAGTAACCTGGGCTATGAGAACAGACGGGAGGGAGTTGTGAAATCCACACTCAGCCATTTGATCCTGCAGAATCCCTGGGACAGGGACTCTAGAAATCATTGAGTATGGATCCTAATTGCATGGGCCATGGCAAAGTTGAGCAGGAGAAAGAAATCAGTGGAAGGTGTGCCCAAAAAGACTGAACACCAATCCTTAGAATTTGATCCTTGTTACTAAAATACGTAGTAAGCAATCAAAGCAGTGGCTTCTTTTCAACAGAAGAAAGATCCAAAATCATAGTTGGAAATGAAAGCTGAAATGAAAATTTGATGTTATTTAGCTAATCAACATTGTAAAGTTTGTTTCACTCATTTAACGATATCTTCTTTCAAACGGATATCGTCTATTATTTTTTTCTTTGTAATTGTATTGCCAGCTCCCAGGACAGTCCTGTCAAACGCCACTCTGACGCTGTCTTCACTGACAACTACAGCCGCTTTCGAAAGCAAATGGCGGTGAAGAAATACTTAAACTCAGTTTTAACTGGAAAAAGAAGGTACTACAAGAAAGCAAATATATATTATTTCCATACTTGTATGGTATTAAGACAGAAAAGATTTATACCCATGTATGTGTACAGAAAGGAAACAAAAGGCAATGAACATTAATGACATTATAACGTAGTTTATAACATGGTTTTCAAATACAGACAGCATTTTCTTCCAGACTGGAACAGACACTACAATCAGATTAGTATAAAAGAATAAAGAGGAGATGGCATCTGGCAATTTTAAAAAGCTTCTGGCAGATTCTTAAAATGGTTTTATTTATAAAAAAGCCTCTTAAGGAAAAATCCACAAAGCTATGGAACATCTGCAACAATTTTATAAAGAAAATACGCTATTTGTTGAAAATTTGCCTTTAAGTAAACATACAAAACGAAAACTTAGAAGTCCCAGAAGGACCATATGTGCTAATCAGTATAGGTGAAAAGTGGCAGCACATGTTTTTGTAGAGCTTATATTCTGTTTGTATATTCACTCATTTAGACAACTGCTTTTAAATATCATGTCTCTTCACCCATTAAACATGCTATTTCATGTGATTTATAACACTTTGGTATAAGTCTGACAAAATGCGCAATAGCTACAGTTAGAAGGCGGCTTTGCTTGCTTGTTTGCTTTTTCTTCTAAGAGCAATTAAACTTGTTTCTGATCCACAACAGCCAGGAAGAGCTAAACCCCACTAAACTTCGAGATGAAGCAGAACTTCTTGAACCTTCATTTTCAGAAAACTATGATTCTGTAGATGAGCTGCTGAGCCACCTCCCACTGGTATGCCCAGATTTTCTTTCCTCTTGCTATCTGTTACTTGACTTGACCCATAAAATGAGATTAGTCATACGTGAAATGTGGCCTGTCAGAAAAGCAGAATTATCTAGGAAAGAGCCGTGTTACATGAAATGCTGCATGTTTCTATAGGGATTGTGTCTGAATATAGTAATCATTTTAATAACAATAATTAAGTTATCCCATGATTGCTGTTATTGAAAATTCCTAATTAAATGGCACTGTTAATAATGCATCTAACACACTTGGGTGTTTCAACTTGTGTGCACTGCAGCGTAAAACCAGAATTGACTCATGTTTAATTACAAAGATTATTATTTCTTCAGAGAACAAACTCAAGGATATTTCTTTTCATTAAAAAAAAAAAAAGAGCTGCACATTTTGTTTAACATCTATTTCATTGGAAGGGAGTTGCCCCTAGAACTGAGAGGATCAGCAACATGAACCCTAAGCATTAAGAAAGCACTTGGCTCCCATCTGAGGTATGCTGTAGAGGGATCATCTGACATGCAAATATTGCAGTTACTGTTTTCCATTTAGCTACTACTGTTTTTCTAAAATCGTTCTCAAATATGTTTCTTTGGTTTACTGAAATGTAAACCCTTCTACATCACAGCACTTGCAGGGACATAAAATTGAAAGGGTAACGTAGAAGTGAATCGGGTTTGGTATCCTCAAAAGCGTATTATGAAATTGATGGTAGGATGGGTTTTGGCATTCAGCTGCGTCTCAACTACAAGTAAGAAAAAAGGCTACTCTTGAAGATAACTTGGGGGTTTGGGGGGTTTAGAAGAAAAGACATTTCTCCAAAGTGTTGTTTCCTTCCAAGACTGAAAGAAAATGTTCTTTTCCTTTCCACAAATGTGGCAGTTCCTCTAAAGTTCCCAAAGATCAGAAAGGAAATAAACTGCTTATGCCTCAAGGAACAAAACAATTTGTAAGTGATGGGATTCAGGAAAGAAATGTTCTTTCTAGACAAGATCATTGCAAAAATATCTGTTCCTGGATTTTGCACCTTCTAAAACTGCTGACATTGATTAAGTGAGAGAGTAGTGGTGCAGCGGGTCGCGGGTGTCTTCCTGGAAATATTTTCAGTCCTTTCCTTTTTTATGGACCGTACTGATGATCCAGATCTCCCTATAGGTGAATCGCTTACTCAGTATTGACTATTACTGGTCATTTTATCGCAGCGCCCAGTTGCTGATGTAGTGCGTATCAAGCAATCTGAATTCGTGTATCCATTTCAAGGATGCAGTTGTTTTCCAAGTGAGCTGTTCCATTGGCGCTGTAGGCCAATGTGTAGTAACATTTTTGCCTAATCCTTCAACCTTTCTTCCTCATCCTACAGCCTTGTCTGCTGGCTGTAATGCCCACCAAGCTCCTGTGAAAAGCTCCATCTCATGCTTGTCAGTCCCAAGCACAGCAGTTGTTTTATATCAAGTGTTACTTCTTGTCTGTGCTCTGCTTTTATACACCTCATGATGCAACTGCTTATGAAAATGACTTCTAAAACATGTTTCTCCTTTGCTTTTCAGGACCTCTGAAGGACACCTGGTAAAATCTACGACAAGAACAAGCTATTTTTGAGTTCCACATATTGTATTTCAAAGAGATGACTTTAGTCATCAAACCAGAACAAATATGTTGTGAAGTGAAAGTTGTGATATATTTGTTTCTTATGTAATAAAAGTTGATATTTACATTGTAAATATTACTCTAGAGTCTCTACTGAAAGCTGTACATATGGATGCCAGTTTAACTCATGAGACATCTGTGAGTCCATATGCTGTAAATCCTTTACTTCAATAAATTCATTTGAAAATGAGTGTGCAGCTGAAAAGAGCCCGTCATTACTAATTAATTGCCTTATTTTAGGTGTGGTACAACTTCAGATAAGCCTGCATGATAATAGGGATACATTTCCAGATAGCTTCAAAAACAAGCGTAAAAACGTGAGGAAAATAACGTGCAAAGCATGTAAAACTGCACTACAAAGATCTCTGAAGGTTACTGCCACGCAAAAGGGAATGCTTTTCTAGCAGCTTACCAAGCAAATAGAGAATGAAAAAGCATTAAAAATTATTTGACCTCCAACAGCATCTTTACTTCCTGTTCACATTTTTAATATTTCACAATATACAAATTATACTAAGACCAGAAATGTATCCTTTATTTTCAGTTGTGTTTTGGATGCTCTGGAGCTGACAAAGCATGCAAAGAATGCTATCCCTTGATTCGTTTGATGCCTAAAGTGACCAGTTATTCTACATTTAATTGTCTGTAGCTTTGATGATGAAACTATTCATTATATATGAAATAGATCCGAAGACACTTTACTATTTTTTCAGAATGAATGTAATTTACATATGCAGACAATAAATCATTTTGTATCACGGCAAACTATTACTGGTTTGAATCAGTGCTACAGGTACCTGGAACAGTAGAGGTCCCAGTAAGTGCTGTCTCTATTATAGCAACAGAGGAAGACATTATTTTTTAACTGAGGTATACTATGTTATATTAGAAAGACAAACAAGTGAGCCTCCAGTCCCCATTTCTTTAGCTTTGTATCATTGTAGGTTAGTATGGAACTGGAAATTTGCAGCTGATTCACTGTTGCTGTGAATCAGAATCTGGTTGTATTTTATTAAAATTGTAGATTTAACAAATTGGATCATTTTCTAAAGGATTATTTACTGTTGTAAGGACCGATAGTTCCATTGCAGTAAGGAAGGTTTGTGGTACTGCACACACAACATATGAAATGCATATTCATGCATGATACCAGCCATAACACTCTCATGATTCCCCTCCCACCTCCTAGAAAGAGATGAAATTTGAAGTAGAAAAACTTACCAGACCTACTTACAAGTTCAATTTGGAATTTCAAGTATATTTATGTATCATACATATGCACACATAGACAGTGATAAAACTGATTTACAAGTTTCACTTACAAGTTTACTGTTCTCATTTAGAAGGAAGCTTCAAACATGATAAAATTTGAGATTTATGAAGACTACTTCTCATAAATATGTAGCCTTCCGATTTACAATTTTTTTGAATATTGGCGACTGCATGTCAAAGAAAACCAGCTTGCACAGATCAGATGCTATTACTGCTATTTCTGTCTAGCCTTGACAGAATTTATTTTAGCCTAAGCCAATGAATGATTCACAAAAGTTAGATGTAATTTTGAAGTCTTCTCTTGAAAAGTGGTCTTCTAATGGTGGTCCACTCTCAATTTCTATCTTACTATGAAAATTTGAGTGCAAAAGGATACTTGAAGGAAGTACTTGAAGGATACTAACAGATTGATGCTATAGTACTTAACTGGAAATTTTCTTCAGTGTAGTTTGAACTTTGTTGGGATTTCTGTGATAAGTAATCTTTAAAAAAAAAGTGAAAATATTAACCCGAAGCAAAGCTGCATATGGTCTTCATACATAGAACTCTGTTTAGATATACATAATATTCATTCACTCAATTTAAAGTAACAAAAATTGGAGTGATCAAATTTTTTACTCTGTATTTCCAGAAATCCTTGGGTTTTTTCTAAATTTGCCTTTTTAAATTTATTTCCAGTTTACAATAAGGTATCTGATGGAAGAGCTTGTCTTCCACATCTAATGTTTAATCTCCCCAGTATTTTGTTCTCCATAGAAAACTGCAGAACCTTTGAACATGGATTTTCTGTTACAATGGAGATGGAGTGGGTTACAGAAAAAAGGGATGCTTATTAGGAAATCATATATATATATTATAAAATACAAAATTAATATTCTAATTGTAATAACTAAAATAATACTGTGATAGCTTCCTCAGAGGATTAGCAAATAGAGACAGTCTAAAAGGCATGCTAAATTTTATGTACATTTTAGCAAAACCTAGCACTGAAAGGAGAGCTATTAACCTCCAGAATAATATACCTGACTTGATATTTGTGTGAAAGTTATTTTAACTTGTCATAGCAACTTTTGACATTCTATAGGACATATAAAGCCCAATTAATGCACTGAGACTAGTTACCTGTGGAAGATGTAACATTGTTCACCTCAACTCCACAGGCAAGTGGTTATGGTAAGGTTAAATGATAAAATTGAAGAGAAAATTGCAACATTTCACTGAATGAGACAAATCTTCAGTCTCTCAATGAGTCTTGACACATGTCACCAATCTTACAACCCATCTGCAAAATGTCATGAGTGGAATCAAAGTGTTGCGTTAATTAGGAGAATGAAAGGGGCAGCTCCAAAGAGAGCATCAAGAGGACTGCTAGGAGTGAAACAAATACCCGGGAGATTTAGAAGAGCATCACTAGCAGAGAGAATGTGACCACTCGGGAGAAAGGAATAAAACTGTAAAGGGTTATTGGGGTATATGTTAAAGAAACATCTCACCATGTTTCTCCAGAATTTCACTTCTAACGCAGGGTAGGAATACCTGCGATCCTAGAGGATGGAACTCATTATTTTTTGTTTTATTGAATGGGGTTTGCTTCTCGGACCTACCCCATGGAGCTTTTAAAGAAAGGGACAGAATGACCCTTAAGTGCATCTTTACCAGCACTGGAAGGGGATATTTTCTGGTCCTGAATCCACAGAGAAGATTTGCATGCTTGCGTGCATCTGTGCAATCATCACCCACACAAGGGCAACCCTCAAGATTGTGAATAAGACCATGAGAATTACAAAAGTTGACAAAACATTTTAAAATTACAGCTGGTAAAAACACATTAAAAATGAATAAAACGCTAACAGCTCCTCTGATATTTTAAATAGGTTTGAGGGGCTATGAGTGTTTGTTCCACCTGAAAGTCTGAGACAAGATTTCTGTTTAAAAATATGAAAATGGGTAACTTGGATCCAAAGCATAGGTATAACTTCATGTATAGGAATATTGAATTCTCCCCAAAGACAGACCTTTTGGAAAGAGATGTATGTATACAGGAACAATTTATTTGCTTGCAAGGCATTAGGAAAAGGTAGATGGAAAAGGCTGTCTGTTGCCTCTTGTGATACTACCTATGCTTTCCACTACCTCTTTTATTTTTCCTTATTTCCTCTCTCCCTCCTCCACTTACTACAAGCTTCCCCACTCTTGTTAATACTCCCGCTTTTGGCTTGCAAAGCTAGTGTATGAATGTATACCTATGTTTTTGAGAGGAACAGTTACAACAGTCCTTAAATTTATGGTGCAGCAATCTAATAACTGCCAGCCTTGGTTATGGAGATGAGTATTGCAGAGAACCTGGCACAAGCAGATTTGCAGGAGCAACCTGTCCTGCTCACAAACAGCCCCTGGCTTCCCACTGGAGATTTCCCATTTGGTTTGTGACTGGCACAGAAGGCTGACCTTTCCTTGGATGCATCAAATAGAACATGGGGCCTCCTGGGGCTTGCCCTGGCTCAGGCAACTGCAATATTTTCAGCTTTTCTCCTTTCTGCTCTGGAACAGTCACAGACAAATCTCTTGCCAGGTTGACAAGTTGGTTTAGGATTGGAGGTAGGAAAGTAGACACCGGTCTTTTACATCAATCTTTACAAAAGTCCGAAGAATAATTTGATGCATCTTCTGCTTCTGAAGTAGACAAACAGGAAAAGTTTTACTTCAGTTTTATACACAGATACATGCAGGCCACTTAGGAGGGAGGGGAAAAAACAGCTTTCCCTTGCGAGGATAAGTATTTTCAATAACTTAATTGATCAACATTTGTAAATAAAATGTGACTGATTATTCAAAGATTAAGCTGAAAGTGACATAAATCATAATGGTACAGTGAAAACGATAATTCTCTTATCTATATATCGACATTGTCATGGTGAGAACAATATTTTCAATAGAGCATGTTTTTGGGAAAGAATGGGGGCTGTTTCAATAATGAGGGAAAAAAAGGAGAAAAAAGATCTTGTCCTTCCCCACTGAGAGAATTATTTAATACTAGATAGAGTTTTGCATAGGATAATATGCTTAAAAGAGTGTGCGTGAGGTTGGTGCATAAGATCCATTTTCTGGATCTTTTCTGGAACTGTCCTGGACATTTAGAAGCCCTATTTCATGTTTCAATGAGACCACAGCATCTAAGAGCCTAAGTTATTTCCAAACATGGGATATAAATGCTTTTAATGTGTTGATCCTATTACTTAATAGTTGTCAAGTCAGAATTTGCTCTTATCCAACACATACCCTCTTTTTGGCATGGGGGAAAGCAGAAGAGAAGCTAAAAACAGTCACTGTCTCCTATTGTTACATGAGATGGATCAGTGAAGACTTTTTTACTTAGGAAATGTACACAGAGCAGCAATTGTTGCCAGTAACTTGTGGAATAGCCAGGCAATTGACTGGGTAGGACAAAGACAGAACGATCTCTAGTTTTGCTTGTAAAATTACCTGATAGTGCTGCTACTTGGCCAAATAGTAGGCGGTGTCAAGTTCTTGCACATCAGCTTTTTGATAGAGAAGAAATCATTTATATGGAGCCTGGGTGGCTCCCAGCTGTTTGCTTATTTTATATACTATTGAACTGCTTTTTACTGGAAGTGGTCACAACTATGTTTGACAGATGCCTTATCACCATTTGTTGCTATTCTAACACAGCTCTTCATCTTTGTCTTTCAGCCAATCCCTCTTCCCATAATCACAGCCAGAACATCTGCACACTGTTTTAAGCAAGCAATTTTGCCTCTTATTAGGGAGCATAGAAAGCAAACTGCTGTATTCTAGGAAGACTCTTCATGAGAAAGCTAGGGATATATAATTTATGCAGAAAGACTGAATCTTGCTTAAAAAGTAAGAAGAGTTTGAAAAATTCTAGAT